CCGGGCCCGGCTCCCCTCAGCCCCAGGGCTTCCCTTCCCCTCAGCGTGGCCCGCCTCGGTGTCTCCTCAGCCCCAGGACCCCCCCTTCCCCTCAGGCCCAGGGCTCCCCTCAGCCCCAGGGCTCCCCTCAGCGCGGCCGGCCTCGGTGTCTCCTCAGCCCCAGGGCTTCCCTTCCCCTCAGCATGGCTGGCCTCGGTGTCTTCTCAGCCCCCAGGGCCCCCCTTCCCCTCAGCGCGGCCTGCCTCCGTCTCTCCTTAGTGCCCGGGTCCCCCCTCAGCCCCCTGCGGGTGCCGGGGATGGGGTCCTCCTCCCCGGACATGGGGCTGTCCGAGCCTCTGTGCAGTGGGAGCCGGTGTTTCTGCCCAGGGCTCCTGGGGCGAGACCGGTGGGGTTGTTTGGGTTCCTTGGCAGCTGTGTTTCCACCAGCTGTTGGACACGGAGCGGTGTGGTGTTAAGAGTACCTGAAGGGGGGTTGTAGCGAGGTGGGGGTCGGTCTCTTCTCCCCAGTAACAAGTGACAGGATGAGAGGGAACGGCCTCAAGCTGCGCCAGGGGAGGTTTAGGTTAGACATTAGGAAAAACTTCTTCACCGAGAGGGTGGTCAAGCATTGGAACAGGCTGCCCAGGGCAGGGGCTGAGTCCCCATCCCTGGAGGGATTTAAAAGAAGGGCAGACGTGGTGCTGAGGGACATGGTTTAGTGGTGGGCTTGGCAGTGCTGGGTTAACGGTTGGACTCGATGATTTTAAAGGGCTTTTCCAACCTAAACGATTCCATGATTCTAAGATAGAGGCGTGGGGGTGGGCAGAGGTGACAGCATGGGGGGCTGCCAAGGTTGGAGGGGATTCTGGTTCAAGGACTGACTGCTTGCTTTGTTTCTTTTTGTCTTTCTGTCTCTCTCTCTTTCTGTCTTTCTCTTTCATGATTGCAGCAAACGCTAGCAGCACAGGCATTTGCCATTTCCGAACAAAACTTCAAAGTCAAACGACTTCTTCCACTTCCAACGTCTTCAGCGTTCCTTAACCGGCCGGTGAAACCTACGTCTGTGCAGCTGGGGCAGACTGGTGAGACTTGGCCACAGCCATGATGGAGCCCCGCAGGGTTTCGTTCACCACTCTCCAGAGTCTGCCTAGCAGCAGCTTCCTGAAGATTTCCGGGAAAGACGGTGGAGAGCAGCCCCAGGACTCTGAACCGGCTTCAAAAACTGTTCGAATCACAGTTGCTCTCTTTGAGCCGGATGACAAGCGTTGTCCAGAATTTTTCTACCCAGATCTTCTGGAGAGTTGTCAGGCGAAAGCAAAGGGCAGTTCTTCAGAAGACGAGGTAAGTGGCCTGTGGAGAACTGACGTCCTATCTGAAGATTTCAAAGGCTTTTTCAGTATTGCTGCTTTAATCCTGTTTTAAGCGTGGCTTGTGCGTTGGCTGTGAGGTGCTGAGAGGTGGAAGGAGGGTGGTCAGGCATCCCACAGGCGGGAGAACTGGTATCCAGGCAGGGGTTCTTGTTGTCAGGCCACACTGTTGCACTCCGTTGCCTTTGCTGGAATTTGATGTCATAAAGGTGATGTGTTGGTGGCGGAGTGGGACGTAATGCTCGTTTAGCTTGGAATTGCTTGATGGAAAGTGATTTTTTTGGTACCTGGCTTGCTTCTGCGATCTGTGGCTGTAGCTTTTTGGGGGCCCTGCTCTACTGCACGTGAATATTTCCACGGCAGTCCGTGGCGCCTCTTCCTGCGCGGAGCGTGCTGCCCCCCGCCGCGCTGCCTGACCGTTCTGTTTGCCTGCTGAAAGCCGTTTCTCAGGATACGGCGGCACGCAGACTTGGGGAGCATCTGCACTTTGTCTTCTGGGTGTTTTTCTATGAAAAGAAAGTTGATTGGGTTCTACTCGTTTTTACTGTTGCTCTTCAGAACTGTTTAGCAGTCAGTTGGCGGTTCGTGCTGGGGTTTTTTTGTTTTGAGAGTCGGGAGAAGCAGAGACAGGTACAGGAGGACCTGAGAGAGCACCCAAACCCCAGAGACACTCTCAGAATACTGTGCCAAAGGTCGATTTGCCTGAGCTTCTGCCTGGATGTGCTGGTCGTGATGGGTTCAATGCACGGGGTTTTGGTGGCCTCATGACAGCACGGATTCTGATGGTTTTATCTCTTTTCTTTCTACAGAAGAAAGATGCTGCTGATCCCTTTAATGATGACGAAAAGGAAAGGCATAAAGTGGAGGCTCTTGCTAGGAAGTTTGAAGAAAAATATGTATGTTTTTCTTCTTTCTATTA